AAAAAAAAAAAAAAAAAAAAAAAACAATTTTTTTGACCAGAGATGGTAAAATGTATACACTGCAAAAAATGTCCATCTTACCAATTATTAAAATCTTATATCAGCCAAAAAGTTTTTTTGATCTTGTTTTGAGACTGATTTACTAAACAAGAACTGATTGTGTAAGAATAATAATCTTGTTTTCAGAATGTGTAAGATTGTTTATCTTGTTAGTCTGAAAATTTGACTCAAGTCAAAAATTTCTGCCAATGGAGTAAGAAAATTTTACTTGGTAAGATTCTTGAAATACTTGATTTGGCTCAATTTTTTTTTATTTCAAGAATCTTACCAAGTAAAAATTTCTTACTCCATTGGCAGAAATTTTTGACATAATTTGAGTCAAATTTTCAGACTAACAAGACAAATAATCTTACACATGCTGAAAACAAGATTATTATTCTTACACAATCAGATCTTGTTTAGTAATTCAGTCTCAAAACAAGAGCAAAAAGACTTTTTGGCTGGATATTGGATTTTAATACTTGGTTAGGTGGACATTTTTTGCAGTGTAATATTTACAGTACTTTTAGAGTACTTCATCTATTTGTAATTTGTAATTTTATCAAGTATTTTGTATTGTAACTTTTACTTTTGTTACATTCAAAACATAAAAATGATACTTTTTTAAGTTACAATTTTAAATATGATYGAAACTCATCATGAATGTGTTGTTTGTGCACTCTAAAAAATGAAGTGTTGTATTTATTTCAAAATTTGTTTTGAGTAAGTTATGACAACTGGTTCAACTAAATCGAGTTGAATAAAGCAATTTATTTTCATTAAAATAAATGTGTTCATTGCTTAATTTACTGAACTTGGCTTAGTGGRACCAGTTTGGTTAAGTAAATTCAATACTTAATTTCTTAGAGTGTACTTTTACTGTCCTGATTATTGTCAGCAGTTTTATGACTTTTCTTAAGTAGTTTTCTTATCAATGAAATTCATTTTTACTAAAGATATTTTCTGTTAAGATACATTTACTTTGACTTAGTTATTTTTAAATGAGATTTATATAGCTCTAAAATGGCATTTGAAGAAAAACACAACATTAAAATGTTCTAAAAAATGAAATAGAAAACAAGTACAACATGAACTCAAAGCAGCCTAAATTGTCCCTAGGTGTGAGAGAGTGAATGGTTGTTTGTCTTGTTTGTCGTGGCCCTGTGATGGACTGGAGACCTGTCCAGGATGTACCCTGCCCCTCACACTGTGACTGCTGGATATGGGCACCAGTGACCACTGTGACCCTGAACAGTTCACGGGGTGACCTAGGTGGACAGGAAGAAAYGGGTATAGATAATGGATAGATGGATGAACTCWTAGTGTTACAGTGTCCTAGATCAGGGGTTCTTAACCTTTTTGACCTCAGGGCCCAATTTGTTCAAAAAAAAGTGACACAAGGACCAGTCACACATTACCATACGGATCAAAATGATAATTATTCTATATCTTGGTTTAAAAATATAATTATTCTAAATCTTGGTTTAGTTTGTATTGTATTTGCATTATAACTAAATAAAATGCACTTAGTTTAAAAGTAAAACTCCTGTCAAATAATCACAAGACATGATTATGACAAAACCTTTTTTATATTGTAACCTGCCCATTTGAACAAATACCACAGTCAGTCAACAGACCACTCAGGCTTATCAACACAAATTTTTTTTAAAACCTAAACAACAACAAAAATAGACAATTCAATAAATAAAATTGTGATCATCAAATAAATACATTCAAAAATATTTAATGTAAATGTTCCAAATAAAAAACTGTAAAAATAAATTTGATAAAGTGCAAATGAAAATAAAGCTTTTTTAAACTTTTGCACGGTAGAAC